CGACCTCATTCTCTCAAAAAACTGTAAACTGCTGCTCAACTTCGGCCAACGAAATCACTGCTCGACAAGACGGGCAGCCATTTTGGACGGGTTGCTGTCACTTCCTGTTTGGATGGGTATTTGGAAGACGTGAAAGGCTTGTTTGGTGAAGGCTGCGTCTAAATATATGAAGTCCTGACTCTGGCTTTACGTCAAGTTTTTGTCAACTTCGCTCGCTTCTTAGCTTGAAGTTTGATACCGGCCTCCTTTCTGAGAGTTTGCATGTGTCTGCTCTGGTTTCTCCACTAAACACATGTATAACAGGTCAAATCCCCCAGCTCTGGTCCTGAGATGGGTCCTCTGTTCTACAGTCCACTGCTCCTGACAGAGGCTCTAGTCACATTGGAAGGATGGTTCAAATGCAGAGGACCAATTTCAATCAATCAAGAACATTTGTATTATATATTATTATATACGTTCTTTTCATCCAAAAACAGCAGCACTAATTCCGTTACAGTTTGGTTAAAAACAATCCCACATGCAAAGCTAAACCACATCTATGTAAAAAAAAAATGAAAATAAGAAATATAAAAAAGGGCAGCACGGTGGCTGAGTGGATAGCACTCTCGCTTCCCAGCAAGAAGGTCCTGGGGTCGAATCCTGGTCGGAACAGGATCTTTCTGAGTGGAATTTGCATGTTCTTGCCCTTGCCTGCATAGGTTTCCTCCAGGTACTCCGGTTTCCCCTACCACTAAAAACATGCTCACAAGGTTAAATCCTCCAGCTCTGGTCCTGACCAAGCCGAGCATCAACATCTGGAGATGGGTTTCCGGGCGCTGTTACTACGGCTCCTGACGTAAGGCTTAGTGGCATCAGGATGGGTCAAATGCAGAGGATGAATTTCCCTACGGGGATCAATAAAGTGCACCACATGTATTGTTAAACACACACACACACACACACACACACACACAGTCACATCTGATGGGTAAAATAGCTAAATCCATGAAAAAAAATAGGGCCATCCAAGGACCCGTCTGCACCAGGAGCATAAAGCCGCCCAGAGCCACAGGGGACGACACAGGACCCAGAGGAGATGAAGCCGAGGCTCGAGTCCAAGAGCCAGACCCCCACAGCCCCGGCTGAGATTCCCCCTCAGGGACAGACAATATAGAATAACTTAAGCTACAAGACAACAGGCTTCTCTTAACTTCCCCCAAAACACTAAAATGTCCTCAACAAATTGACATAACCCATAAAAATAGGCTCCGTTTTGTGAGTACATTTGGACGCAGCCTTAAAGTTTGCTTAAAGGTCTCAACTTTCACTTTTTATTGCGTTGTCGTGGAGACGTTGGATGGACATTCTGCGTACGGACTGCTTCCTGTCACTTCCTAAAGAGCAGATCACCGGTGAAGTGCTGGATGGGTGTATACAATTTTTATTTTATTTTTGTTATATTTTTTAAGGTGTGTAAAAGGTGTAATGTGCTATGTGGCAGCTACGAGTAATGTGTCTTTATTCCAGGTGTGAAACAAACTGCTGACAAATCAAGATTTTATTATTTGGCTATTTAAAAAGAAGTGTACTGTATTTATGACACTATATCAACATGAGTAAATCTGTTTTCTAAATACTTTGGCTCATGTTTTTTTTCTAAATCTGAACGTCTGCTGAGTATTCCCCTTGAAATACTAAATAATCTAATCCATTCCATGTTTTTGGCTGAGCAGGAGCGGCCCTCTCTTTTAGATACATAACTAAAGATGCCGAAAAACATGTTTGTGAAAATTGGTGATATAGTCAAACTGTTTTGAGAGCATTGACTGGATACAGATGGACCATGCTAACCCGCTAGCTCAATGTAGCCCAATAGAGAAGTGCTCATGGACAAAGTTTTGTTCCAACTCGCTCTGGCTCCTATTGACTTAAGCCTGCTTCACACGAGACGATTTTAAAATTGTCGGCAGATTTTCCTAACCTGAGAGACCCCACACACGGAGATAAAAAAAATCAAGGGTGTAACCACTTTGGTCGTACAGTGTGTGGTGCGCAGCCACACGGCAAAATCACACAAACCACACACGAACCGATTTCCCCCCCGAGCATTTACAGGTCAGACGGAAATCTCACAAAATCTCTCGAGATCAAGTGTGACTTCAGAGTAAACAATCATGGCGGACCAAGAGGATGCAGTGGCGATAGTTTGCAGTTTTAACAGAGAAAAAGTGTTATCAACGGAACAGGCGATGGTTAAAGAAGTGGAGACAACGCGAGCACGGACTATATATATTTATGCCATTGACTGTTATGATTTTTTTCCGGTGTTTCCTCGCCGCCTCGTTACCTCATCCTCTGATTGGCTACACGCCGAGTCCACCGGCAGCGTGCTCGTCTGTCCCCGAGGACACCACACATGAAGAGAAATCGGGCCAAAACAATCCAACATGTTGGATATCCCCAATTTGAGATCGGAGCAGTTCTGAAGTCCTTCTGAGCGACGCAGTCTGAACACACCACACATGGAAAATCCATCAGATATTTTTTACGAAAATCTGAGCGTTCTTAAGATTGTCGTTAGGGGTAAATTGGGTCTTAAATCGGCCTAATTATCCTGCCGTGCAAACCAGGCTTAACATGTAAAAGTAAACTCCTCTAGATCAGTGACTTTTTGTGTCACACTCACTATTTTGGGCTCTCTGTGATCTTGGTGTTCATCTTGTGTCATTGTCTTTGTATATGCAAATATTAGAATATAAGAATTGACCAATCAATTGCCTTCAGTCGCGGTGAAAATTCCAGCTTTCTTTAGTAACCACCTTAGCCACATTGCCCCTGTTGCAGCGCAAAGCTAATGCCTTCACAACAAATGCCCATATAAGGAAATGGCTCCAGCTTATGTTCAAATCGGCTTCTTCCACATTAAGGCTAACACTATGGTGACGTCAGCACTCACTCAGTCCACTCCTAATAGAATGTCTTTGACTGAGAGCTAGGAATGAGTTAGAAAATTAGGTACTTTAGCTTTAATAAGAGAAGGCAAAATTAATGTTTTTGGCTGCTCTTTATCCATGTACCGATGCCTTAGTAATAACTTAGTTCCAAGTTTCTCTTCTTTTTTTATTTTAATTTTCTCTGGAACAATGTAACAGCAGATATTGTTTGAAATCACAAAAACAAGTATTTATAATTTATTGAAAATGTTCTTTATTTCAAGATCTGAAAATATGACAATTCAACATCTACAAAGACACAACAATCTTAGATATAAAAGTCAAAAATAATTTAACAAAACTTAAAAAATAAAATGGCACAAACCACTCTGTAGAAAAGGGAACGTATTTACATCACTATAATAATAATAATAATAATAATTACCAGTTTTAAATTAAGCAGGTCTTGGTCAAAACTGCCATGGTACACATAATATATTATTGGCCCCAGAAAGGAAACTCATGAATTACTTTAAGCATAAACAACACACAGAAAAAGGAAAGATTTGGGAAAAATAAAATTAAGAAAAAAATTGTCTCTACAATGTGAGTTTTGAAAAATCCACTCATGCAAAGTTCTTGGATTTTTTTCTCAAACTGGACCACAGAATTAGATAGGAAATAATAAAGAGGATTATACCACATTCCTGTTCTCCAAGGAAAGTTAGAAGAATAAACCAGAAAATGGCCATGTCACTGTGTTATCAGCACAATATGCTGAAGAAGGGGACTACTTTTTGAGCCAAGAGCCAGGAAGAGCTCCTTTAGCAACTGTTGCTATGACCAAAATGTAGACACAAAGGAGAAAAAGCAAAATATTCCTACATTTAATTCATACATTTTACCAAAAAATGCATATTAAGCATGTTTAGAAACTTGATTTACCATCCTGCTGTATAATAGACCTTTAAAATTAACTTTCTGATGCAAACTTGAAGTCAACTGGACTCAGTGCTGTGTGTTGCTATAGCGATGGCTCAGGCGGAGTTATATGGATATATTTAACATGGGTGATAGTTTGCATTGGAATCCTCACCGGCCGTGGTATAAATGTGGATAAAAAATACCTGTATGTGATTCAGGAGAAAAACAAAACATTTTCACTCATTCCTGGCCAATGGAAATCTTTGTGGCCAATAAATAGTGCGCTCCAGTAAAGTCCCAAAAAACACTTCAGTTCAATAAATGATACATACGATATGAGGAAGAGGTTGAATCGAGTTGTTTTTCCAGTTCACTAAGTTTTTCAAATATGTTGTAGTTAGCGCTGAATACCTATTAGCCATATTAGCAACCGTTAGCATATTTTAGCATAATTCGTAGTTGTTGTGAACCAGAGACTACAGAGAAAATTACACTAGAACCATTAACATTTGAACTATTCTCTGAGTTTCCCGGAGTTAGACGGTAGAATCACTTTAAATTTAGAAGTAGGGAACTCCGAAAATCCGTTGTCCGGTATGCACTACAATGCCATGGCTAATTAAAACAGTTTTGTCCGCTTCAGCTAACGTCAAGAGGACTCGGTACACTTCCGCATTCACACCGGTCAAGAGGACTCGGTACACTTCAGAAGAAAATACAATCCTCACATTTTTTAGCCCTAAATAAACCAGAATCCATTTCTTTTGGACCAAGTGGGACGCACCCCAACTCGCAATCATAATCAGAAAGACACTAAAAAATGTAATAATAAAGGCACTATTATAATTATTAAAAATGACTAATGCTGTTTACTATGGCTACGATAATTGGAATCATGTTTATCGTGGAGGGAAATCAAATCAACACTAGTGAGTACAAGAATGTGGCATAAAAAGATGTGAAAAGTACAATTGGAATCTTTTGTTTGATCATTTTTTCGGCCTACAGAGCAGCTAATACTACGTCATCATAATTTAAACCTAAATAATAACTTAATAGTTTAATATTTTCAATCCGATTGTTTTAAATAAATAAATTAGCCCTGTTAACAGTGTGATAATTGGGATAGCGCGCTGCCCGTGGCCTGGTTGTCGTTTGGAGGCTTCACTTAGGAATGTCCACCGGGAAAGCCACGGCTCCGTCAGAGATGCTCTCGACGATGGAGGAGAGCGCTCGCATGTTGCCCTGGTCCGGAGAGTCCGCACTCAGCAGATCTGCATCAAAAAAAAAAAAATCATTACAAAACAATACAATGTTTTTAAACAGTAAAATTAGCAATGACGGAATAAGTAGTAAATGTAAATCGCTGGGGCTACAATCTCAAGATAAGCATAAAATAAGCAAAAATACATGAAGTAGCAGATATATTTTAAAGGTCTATAGGAGGGTTTTCTACTTCCGGGTGGATCATCAAGACTATTGGTCCTCCCAATTGTCAATCATTCTGGTGATACGTGCTCGTCCAATAAGACCAGAGAGTAAGAAGAAAGGGCGGTTCTTTCCTAAAATTTGAGAAAATCCTTCTATATACCATTAAATGCATCAGTGATTTCTATTTGTGGTCAATGCATTTGGCAGCCTTTTTTCTAACAGTCTACCCCCAGGGCAGCTGTGGCTATCAACACGTATCAGAACAAAAAGTGCATTGCTTGGAAGATACAGAAGGATTTAAGGAGGAAAAGTGTAAATTCTTTCTTCATTGACCCCCAGGAGTAAGTGCTATGCTGAATGCTAACGTTGACTAATTTCGATGCTAAGCTAACATCCATCCATCCATTTTCTTCCCCTTAATCCATTTCTGGGTCGGGGGGTTGACAGTCAGAGCTGCACCCAGGACACAGAGCACCAGCCCCTCACTGATCCTCCTGCAGGTGGTGAGTCCACAGGAGCTGAGATCTTTCAGTTGGGGCTTTGGGCAAAGTAGGGTTAAGTGTCTTGCCCAAGGACACAACGACAGCAGTCATCAGTGGGAGTCGTGAAGTAGGTCTTACTGAAGGTCGTGGCTCGAACCCACAACCTTCGGGCCCAAAGGCCAATGCTCTAACAACTGAGCTACTGTCGCCCACTAAGCTAACATAATTTTTTTGATGCTAAGCTAACGTATGCGTGCTAATGTCAATGCTAAGCTAAGATGTGTGCGTGCTAATTTTGATGCTAAGCTAACATGTGCGTGCTAATGTCGATGCTAAGCTAAGATGTGTGAGTGCTAATTTTGATGCTAAGCTAACATGTGTGTGCTAATGTCGATGCTAAGCTAACACGTGTGAGTGCCAATGTCAATGCTAAGTAACATGTGTGCGTGCTAATGTCGATGCTAAGCTAACATGTATGTGCTACTGTGATTGAGGATAGCTCGTGATTGACCTTCGCTGCTGTAGCTCTGGCACTGCTCCGGACTGCTCCACTCCGGACTGCTGCTGCTGCACGTGCTCCCAGGGCCCTGCTCACTGGACGAGGACACCTGTCACACACACACACACACACACACACACACACACGGGAAGGTCAGGACAACACAGAAATACTTATACTACTGCTATCACAACAATTATTTCTACTACTACTACCACTACTCCTTCTACGACTGCTGCTACAACTACTACTGCTGCAATTACTGCTATTTCTATACAACTATTACTTCTACTAATACTGCTATTACCACTACAGCAACTACTACAACTATTACTACCACTAGTGCTCAAACTACTACTACTACTACATCTACTACTGCTACTACTACTATTACAGAGCTGCTGCTACTACTACTACACTTGAGAAATGCAACTACAGTTACTATTACTGCTATGTTTTTTAGGGTTTTTTTATAAATCACACCTGTTCCACACACACACACACACAGGGAGGTCAGGGCTCTCGGGAAATACTGCAAGTACAACTTTTACTACTACCATTACTACTTCTGCTGCTGCTACATACTATACAGATGAGATACCACAATCCATGTGTGAGTACCACGAGATATGAACGCCATATAGACAAAGATTAATTAAAGGCAAAAAATAACCATAAAAACACAATTACAATGAATCCAAGGCAAATCCATGACTCTGACAAACACATTAGATTATTACGGTTTAAAAACTAGAGACCGCTTGTCCTTTCTTTGGCGCAAAAACATTGACCTCACCAACCTGTATGCGTTAAAACTTTTTCCATTCAACTAAATATAGCCCGCATTCTTCCACTGCCATCTTCCATTGTGGCATTGTATAATACTCTTTATCCTGTTTCCTATGTCCTTCCCGACGACTTTGTCCCACTGACTGAGGCTGTTGTACGAATGTAAGCTATTATATCTTCTGAAGTTATTTAAGTGCTGTTTATTGCCCCATTTCCTATGACTCCATTATTCTTAGGCAAAAGTATGAAGTTGATGCAAGTGGTATTTCAAAACCCCTGCGTCCAAATTGTACACACGGCCGAGTTTCCTTGTTTCCTACACTATTTTGAAGACCAGATTTATTCTCAGACAAACAGGTGAGCAGCTAATATGACGGAAAATTTCTCAAAAAAGAAGTGAGACTGCTAACGTCACCATAGTATTAGCCTTAATTTGGAAGAAGTCAATAGGAGTCAGAGTTGGAGCAAAACTTTGTCCATTAGCACTTCCCTGTTGGGCTTTTGAGCTACTGTAGCTGCTGTTATTTTCCATCTGTGTACAGTCTAGGATTTCAATACAAGAAATGACAACATGTAATCTTGAATTCAATCGTATACATCTTGACTGTCTGGATCCTTACTATAATGCTTGATCCATTTGGCAAATGTTTGTTTAGGATATAATAATGTCAACAAGATATTCTAATCTTCTCAACCAATAAACGTTTTTGTCCGTCCCATGTGGTGTACGTCATAGAGAGCAGAGTAAACCTTTTTGTTTTATTGGAAAATCTGGAAAACATTCACTCAAATCACATAATACTGCTCTTTTCAACTAACTTTTCTCTTATATCTAAAATTGTAATTCCTTACCATGAATTTGAAAGAGTTTGCCCAAGAAAGGGTTGAAACTTAAGAATACTAAAATACTACTAAGAGAAATAACAGACTAGTTTGCATAATAGAAAAAAATACTAATGGCTTTCTCTTTTTAATCTAAACTAGAGCACGTAATCCTGGACAGGGGTGTTCAGATCCTATTTGAACTTCTAACATGGCTTCATATTTTTGTCTGAATCACTTTTGAGTTGTAAAATATAAAAACAACCAAAATAGATATTATTTTAAAAATGAATGAAAAAGTCCAGCTGTGCATCGCAAAATCACACATTTCAAGCTGATGTTTTTGTCACGTGTTTTAAAGCTGGAGTACGTAACTTTAAAACCATAAAAGTCACTGTCAATCAGCTCTCATCCCAAAGTGTCTAATCATGACCCCAAAGGCTCACACATCCATCCACTGGCTGCAGGATGATTACAACTTGACGTTTTAAATGTGGTCTGTGCATTGCTATTCACCTGTTGTCCCACTGATAGGAGTTAGAATCCTGCCCTCTCTGGACCTGAGGACTAGTCCCCACGGTTAGTATGAAAGATATGTATTTTTAAATCGATGAAGACGGCATGTTGTGGTCTGCTTTGCTCACACATTTTTACTTTTACGAGACTCTTTATGTTGGGTGAAACTATGTAATCATTTGGAAACAGAAAAGTTAGGTACTCCAGCTTTAAGACGGCCATTGTTTTGTTGTTCTACTCTTATGCAGGAGGCTCCAAGAACAGTAATGTATTTACACTTATGGACAGTGGTCGTCCCTCTTCCTATGGACCAATGGATCCTTTGTGTTTGTTGTTAATGTATTTCCTGTGTTTGAACTGTTTGATTGTTTCTTTGTAAAATCTGTGTAAACAAACTGAGTTGAATTTCCCCCGCTAACGCATACTCACTCTTGGCTGGACTTGACTCTGTCTGTAGTGGAGGCCCGGCTGCTGTCCCGCCTCGGTCTCTTGCTGATTGAGAGAAGACACCAGAGCCTGAAGCCTCTCTATGTACTGGATCGCACTTCTCAAAATTTCCACTTTGGGCAGACGCTGGTTGGGGTTCATCAGCGTACTCCTCTTCAACGCATCGAAGGCCTCGTTCACCTTCTTCAGCCGTCGTTTCTCCCGCAGAGTGGCCGCCCGGCGCCTGTCCATGGTCACGGTTTTCCTCTTGCAGAGCTTGCAGGCCCAGGGCAGGCATTGTCCCGGACAGTGTGGGGAGCCGCTGTCCGAATGCGGAGACAAGCTGCTGTTGGGAGAGGCCTTGTCCTCCACCGCCTGCTGCACCACGCTCGGACCACACAAGCCCATCATACTGCTCCGGTCCTGGAAGCCGGTTTGGTCGTAGCCCCCTGGAAGGAGAAATGTGGAGGTCAGTGGTATCTCAGGTCAAATTGAACCAGAAACATAACAAAAAATAATGATAATGTTCCAACAGAAAGAGAGGTACTAGTCTTGTTTGTGTTTACAAGTGAAGTCATACTTGTCAAAGCCCTGTGAGGGTCTGTTTGATTCTTTGGTCTCTCTTTTTTAGGTCTGATAACGTGGAGATATGACAGAGCCAGAATATATACAAAAAACTAGGGATAGAACAGTTTTGATGGTTAGGAGTTACTTACTTCCATTTTTGGAGAGTTTTTAAAGTTAGTCTCCCCAGGTTGTCAAATGTAATTATGAAGAAAAAAAATACTTTCAGTTCTAACCAAATTTTAGTCCAATTTTGCAAAAGTAGTTATTGTGTGAAGTTGTATTTAAATCACATTTGCTTCAAAGTTGAATGTTGTATTCACCTTTTTACATATCTCTTAGAAACAGACTTAAAGAATATTACCGTAAACATTAAATTATTAGTATAGTTCATTATATAAACACTTATTAAACTCATTTCAAGATACTTTACACACTTTTCTAACCTCCTGAACTCACGACAGTGCAATCCTTGGTTGTAGGTCTGAGCGCTGCTTCAGCTGTCAAAAGCCGTACATGGACTGTGGGGTACCGCAGTGCACACAAGCCACGAAAGTTTTCTTCTGACTTTAAATTAAGCTGTCATGTTATACTAGCAGTTATGATGCAAAAATTTACAAAACAGCAAGGCCGGGAAATGTGAACGGCGTAGAGTGAGGGATTACTGTGATATAGATAATATTCTAATATACTATTTAATCCAGTATATTTTTACACCTCAGGGAACAATCAGCAATAATAACATACTGTACAATACATACTATAAAACTACATACTATGACTGATTGATCATGTAATAAAACTGATCTCAACACAGAAAAAAAAGTAGATTTACAACAATATTTTTTATCATTCAACTTCTCACAATAAACTTTGACCTTGTGCCGTTCCTACCTTGAAGCCTGGTTTGGTAGAAGTTATCATTCCCTTCGTAAAATCGCTGATCGGGGAAGAAATAGGGATTGGTCTCGAACAGCTCCATGATGGTCGAACGCTGGAGGAACAGTGAATGTGGTGAGGTTTACGTCCCCTTGTGTGGAGTGGATGGATGTGAGCAGAACAACTGGTGCGGGATGGTCTGGTCCTGTGGCATTTAAACCCCGAGGATCACGGCGGTTAAAATTAGACCTAGAGTTTTTGGAGAAACCTGAGCTTGCGTTTAGCTGTTGTGGCTCATCCACACACTTCACTGAGGAGCGCTTTACGACGGCTGCAGCCACTGTGCGTGTCACTCACTGCGATTACATGGGAGCTCAGGCCTTCGCTCTGCACCGGGGCCAGTGTGGAAGCGGGGTTAAAAGGGCCAGTGACGGGGACAGAACTAGTCGGTTGTAGAAGTAAAATGTATTTGTACTGTATATATTTGTATTCACAGACCAGAGTCACGAAGCGTTCCATTCCATGATGGGAGCAGGGTCGCCATATAGCCAGACTTATTGTACATGGTTTTAGTGGTATGGGTAACCGGAGCCCCCGGAGGAAACCTACAAAGATACAGGGAGGACATGCAAACTCCTCTACTCATAACTAAAAGAAAAATATAATATTATTGTATTAATGAGATGATATCCTGAAAATTATACTGTTGGAAATGACATAAGATTCATCTCACACACAATATTTTAGACGAAGAAACTAGTTTTTGTTTAAGTAAGTGATTTTTATTTATAAAGCACCTTTCACAGACTAGAGTCACAAAGCGCTTTACACAAGTTGTGAGCGTTTGTCTCCCACTCCACATAGATGGGAGCAGGGTCACCTACAGGAGGCACTTATTATACATGGTTTTATTGGTAATGGAAACTGGAGCACCCAGAGGAAACCTATGCGGACACAGGGAGAACATGCAAACTCCACACAGAAAGACCCAGGACCTTCTTGCTGTGAAGCGCAAGCGCCACCATGCCAGCCATCAATGGTATATAAGAGGATTTTCCCAAATTTTAGGAAAGAACGGCCCTCTCCACTTATTTGTTGAGCATGTATCAGCAGAATCATTGACGATTAGGACCAATGGTCTTGATGATCCACCCGGAAGTAGAAAATCCTCCTATACTGTATGCCTTTAAAAGAAACATGTTAATGAGAGCTGATCAACTAAACTGATTGGTGCTCTCTCTCTGGTCCAAAGATGTGAGAGAGGCTGAAAACACGTGAAAACTCTTGATAGAAGCGATGTTTTCAGAGCAAGGTCAGAGGTGGTCTCAGACGGGGTTGTCACATTCTCCATTTCTATTATGTCTGGTACTGTATCCTAGCAACCAAATAACCTACCCACTACAAACCAGTATCTTTAGGGCGGCATGGTAGCTGAGTGGATAGCACCCTCTCAGCAAGAAGGTTCTGGGTTTGAATCCCGGTCGGAACAGGGCCTTTCTGAGTGGAGTTTGCATATTCTCCCCGTGTCTAGGTAGGTTTCCCCTTCCACTAAAAACATGTGCAATAGTTCAGGGTGAATGAGTGTGTGTTTGTGAGTGCGAAATATGGAAATTAGCCCATGGCTACAATCCGGAGTGATGTGCTCATTAACATGTACTGTCCCAACCAAATAAACAATAAAGAAAAAAATATATATATTAGTACCAGCTCGGCCTGAATTTAACCAGGGTCAAGCAAGTACTAATAAATAACTTGGTACTAGTTAAACTTTGCCTGTGGAAATCAGAGTAGAGTAGAGTGTAGGGCTGGTGGAACAGATATCTCTAACACGTTTTGTTATTGACAGTAAATCTAAAAGAATTTGCTCAAGAAGGGGTGAAACTTCATTTGTGTTGCACTAAAATGGATCTGGTTTAAAACTAGTAAGTAAGTAATCTTTATTTATATACCGCCTTTCACAGACCAGAGACACAAAGCAGTTTACGGTTATTTAGCGGTTATTTTTGGGCATGTGTCCCCTCATGCCACACAGAGATGGGAGCAGGTCTCACCAGTACAGGAGGCGCATGCCAGACCTATTGTACATATTTTTAGTGGTAGGGGGAAACCGGAGTACCCAGATGAAACCTACACAGACACGGGGAGAACATGCAAAAGGCCCTGGTCCAACCGGGATTCGAACTTCATGTAAAAGTAAACTCCTCTATCTCAGTCACCGTTTGTGTCACACTCACTATTTTGGGCTTTTATCATGTGAGGTTTAGCGCTCTCTGTGTTCCTGGTGTTTATATGTTGATATTGTCTTTGTAAATCCAGATATGAGCCCGAACAGCAGACCAATCAGATGCTTTCATTCATGGGGGAAACTCCAGCTTGCCTTGGCAAAACATCTGCCCCTGTTATGGCATGAAGCTAACGCCACAGAACAAATATCCATATAAGGAAATTGGTTCCAGCTAGCTTTCGTTCAAATCGGCCTCTTTTCCATTATGGCTAACACAATGGATACATCACACTCGGTCAGTGCTCTCCTCACACACAGTCTCGTTTATTAGCGAGGAGCGAGATAAGCTACTGAGGTCTGTCTTTGATGTGGTAATAATGTTGTGTTTGCTCATAATAGAAACATGTCTCTTGTAAAGGACAAGGAAGGAGGGATGTATGAATTGGGATGCAGCCGGAGTGTCGTGTCCTTGCGTAGTTCCCCCATGTTTGTGGTGCTGTGGAAGAGAAGCTCGCATTAAACCCGCCGACTGAACGAGCTAATCCAGACGTCTCTCATGACTCACTGCAAAATGTGTGAGGCACTTCATATCACTGCGATCAGACCGTAGTGTAGCCTCTACACACTAGCTATATTAATCATCAAGATTATTCAGATGACAAGCAAAACCGAATGAAAAATATATACTGTACCATTTAGGTCTGTTAAAATATACTGAATTGTATTGTTGCCTGAATTTTAGGAAAGAACAGCTCTCTCCACTTTTTGAACAAAACTCTCTGGTCTTATTTGACGAGTACGTATCACCAGAATGATGGTGTGTGTGTGTGTGTGTGTTTGCACTTTATAAAGATAGATATATTGATATTGAAACATTTGCAGCTATTTGGGTTTGTTCACACTAAAGAGTACAAAGGTGTGACAAAGGGCCAAAAATTAGATTTTAATAATCAAAAGATATTTTATGTGTTTCATGTGTCCAAATACCTCCTGTCAGAACATTACTGTTTTATACATTAATCAAGTTTCCTCTAGCGGCCCTGTTTATTAAGAGATTCTATTTTTTTGCACAAAGCAGAAACAAAGTGATACTTTCATATAGTCAACCAATTAAATGTGAAACAGACCAGATTTTTCTTTTTCTCAAGTTTAAGTGTTAGAGAAAAATGGACGGAAACCATTACGTCCGTTACACATTTATCAAGGATCATTTAATTTTTTGTTTAAAAAAATAAATAACAATTCCTTTTTAAATCAAGTGATTTTCTTCTGTTGTGTTAAAGCAGCAGTAAGCGATTTGGTCGTTTCCGGCAGTTTCTTCTGCCTGAGCGAGTTAGTAGCCCCGCCCCCGTCTCCTCGTCACACCACATGAACGCGCATCGTGTTGGTGATGGCAGCAGCAGATTCATCTCCGTCAGGTCTACTCGTAAGTATATTAACAACAAACTCGAGCTCATGTCCCGCTCCGCGTCCAGCTCGTCTCTCTGTGCCTCCGCCATTTTACTTCCGTCTAGTGACCATCGCTGCTCACTACATGTTCGAGATGCATTGTGGGAAAATTCCAGTGCACTACTTTTTCTCTCTGGACATTCGGACACCCCTACAAAATGGCGTGACCACTATATAGTGCACTATATAGGGTATAGTGTGGACATTCGGATACAGCCTGGGAGTGAAATATTAGCATAGAATAGCTCAGTTGTAACCTAGCTATAACACTGGAAGCAGCTTGGTGTTAGCTAGGATAGCATCACTAAGAAAGAGATAAAAACAATCCAGTCTTTTATAGAATAATACTGCTTTTATAGTTGGTACACTGATAACTGTTGTGATAAACCATAATGTTGCAGATTGCAGTGTGACGTGTCTCAACATTATGCACTGTAACATCTGTTACAGTGCATATGTATTAGATGAATGTAATGCATATACATTACAACAACAAAGCTTTACATGAAGGTTATTTAAAGTAATACATTACTGCTTTCTTCACAATTTGTATATTTGGAGTTCTTTATAGACAACACTGTAGTAATGTATTATGTGAAAGTAAAGCTGCATCTCACTGGAAGCTGCTTTCTCAATGTCACAAAATAAAGATACATTTATTGATGTAATCAACATCTGTATTATGTGCTTATTGTTCAGAGAATGAAGACAAAATCAAAGTGTATCAGAGCTGTACAGTGAGATGTGGGACTGAAAAACAATTCCAGTAAAGCTTGTCCGAAACGCAAAAGTACTGTCATAACTAATTACGTTACACTATTACACTGTAAGGAAACCACTTTGAAAGAAAAGCTACAAGTAACAGAATATATAAAGTCATTTGTCATAACGGTTCTTTCAGGAAGCACTGAACGCCCTCTGTCCAGAGAAGCTGATGACCAGATCCTTTCCCTGATGCGTCTGTGAAAGGTGCCAACAGACATTGAAAACGTGCTTTCCTCAGCGGCCCCCATGGTGCACGTCCTCAGCGGCCCCCATGGTGCACGTCCTCAGTGGCCCCCATGGTGCACGTCCTCAGCGGCCCCCATGGTGCACGTCCTCAGCGGCCCCCATGGTGCACGTCCTCAGCGGCCCCCATGGTGCACGTCCTCAGTGGCCCCCATGGTGCACGTCCACTCTGCAGTTCTGAAATATGTTTGTAGTTGTACTATTTCAAAATAAAAAAAAATACATTCACCTCTTTCAATGTGCTTTGTTTTATAGTAGGAAAACAAATACAGTCTGTAACGAGTCTAAGAAACTTTATTATGTAAAAGAAGATTTGAAGTTATAGCCAGAAAAATATACACAATGTCCCTACTAAGACGAATAATTACAAGTGACGGTAAGGCAACGTTTGTGTTATCACTTTTTGCTCAAATGAATAACAC